GGGATTGAACCGTGGTCCCTGTGCTTTGCTAAGCTTGTTCTAAGTAGGTGCTTTAGACCACTGAGCCATCTCACCAGCCCTATACCAAACATTTTTTAGCTATTTTAATTCTTTTTTTAGCTATTTTAATTTTTATTTTGTTTATTTGTGTGCTTATTTTGACTGACTGGCTAGACTTTCACATTTTTACTTATTTATTTATTTGCTTATTTATTTTTTGTGGCCACCCACGAGGCAGGGCTGGCATGGCTGGCATGGCATGTGGTGCCAGGGATCAAACCGCGGTCCCTGTGCACTTTACCTAAGCTTGCCCAAGCAGGCACTTTAGACCACTGAGCTATCTCACCAGCCCCATTTATTTATTTATTTTATTTACTGCAGTAGTGATTAGGATTGAACCCAGGGCCTCATAGATGCTAGGCAAATGAACATGTAACTCTATCACTTAACTGTATTTGCAGCCCTTTTATTTTGAGACAGGTTTTCACTAGGTTGCCCAGTCTGGCCTCAAGTTTTCAATCTTCCTGCGTTAATCCTGAGTAGTTGGGGTGACAGGTGTGCACACAAGCCCAGCTGCTCCTCTTTGTATGCTCCCTTTTGTATTGATTACGATTCTACCAGCTGAATAAAGAATACTCTGTGTGTGTGTGTGTGTGTGTGTGTGTGTGTGTGTGTGTGTGTGGTCTCAGAAGCCAAACCCAGGGCCTTATTTGTGCCAGGCAAGAACTCTGCTACTGAGTTTCATGCCCAATCCTGATTTCATGTCCTATTTGCTATTGGGTATATTTTATTCATTCTATTTTTTTTAGATCAAGTTACTAGTAATTCCATCCCTGGCTCCATTGTTATTTTGGAAATTCTATTATACTTTCCTATTCTTTTGATAACTCCTTTTCCTTCCTAGCACTAATAGTCAAACTATTATTAGTATTTTGTTGTTACAGGGTCTCACTACACAGCTCTGACTCATAGTGATCCTCCTGTTTTCAGCCTCCCCAGTGCTGGGATTATGAGTATATGCCACTATGCCCATACTCTGGCTGACTCGGCCTGCCCTGGTGGGCGCTCCCTGCACTTGCTTAAGCTTGCCTAAGCAGGCACTTTAGTCCACTGAGCTATCTCGCTGGACCCTCAAACACGTATTTCTTTGCCATTACTTTGAAAATATACCAATTGTTTCTACCATTAAGATGTGTCGGCAGGGTGTGGTGGTGCACACCTGTGATTCCAGCACTTGGGAGGCTGAGACAGGAGCTCAAGAATCCAAGGCCAGCCTGGACCCAAAGAATGAGAACCTATCTCAACAAAATAACAACAGAAAGATGTTTCATTTCTTGCTAATTCTACCAGTAAGAAATACCTTTGCAAACATAGGTATTGTTTGGAATACCTTGGAAACATACTTTTACTTAATGTCTTTCAGTCTAGAGAGATAGTGTGTTACTTATGGTCCTGTATATAATTTGACATCTGTCAATTTGCATAAGCACATAGCTATATAAGATTTTGTGTCTGTTCACGTTACCAAATGACTTTCTCAGTGCTTGTGCTTCTTCTTCTTTACCTTCTCCTAGCTTATTTCTCTGGTTGGCTTTTATTTTTAAGAGGAGTTAGGGGGCTGGTGAGATGGCTCAGTGGTCTAAAGCACCTACTTAGAACAAGCTTAGCAAATCACAGGGACCGCGGTTCAATCTCCCAGCACCACATGCCAGCCAGCCCCGCCCCCTGGTGGGCTGAGCTGCCCCCCCCAATAAATAAATAAAATTAAAAAAAAAAAAAGAGGAGTTAGAATTTGATTTCTCTAAACTTACCCTTCCGAGCACTTTATGAACTAAAGACGCCACGAGCAGCGTTTGAGCGCTGCCATTAATGATGAGATTACGGCAAATGCATGCCAGTACTTCAGGCAAGAAGAAGTACATGGGGCTGGTGAGATGGCTCAGTGGTCTAAAGCACCTACTTAGAACAAGCTTAGCAAAGCACAGGGACCATGGTTCAATTCCCCAGCACCACATGCCAGCCAGCCCCGCCCCCTGGTGGGCTCAGCTGGCCACACACACACACACACACACACACACACAAATAAATAAAATAAAATAAAAGAAGTACATGCTGCTATGAAATAATTAATTAATTATTGTTCCCATCACCAGTAACCTGAAGGAACTCCATTACTTCTTCCCATGATCATTTCACCAGGAATGCTGTCCCTCTGGAGCCCTGAAGTCTGGCTCATGTTGCCATTCAGAAGATGCCTCTAGGCAGCCTCGCCCTGGCCACGCCTTCTGTTGGAACTCCCTGGGGACTCCCGTTCCATTACACAATATACTGAGTACTCACTTGTACAGCTGAACAATTTTTTTCACTTACTTCTTATTTTTTCTTTTGCCCCTCCTGCTACAAAGCCTCTCCCATAAATATTCCATGAAAAAAGGAACTCTGTCTTATTTACTATTGTACCCTCATTTCCTAGAAAAATTCCTGGCATGTAGCTGACACTAAGGAAATATTTGTTGAGTGGATGGATAAAATAATTAATTATCTTTCACATCACCACTGACAGGAAGAAAGTCCATTAATTCTTCCCCTGATCTTATTCCTCAGGCTTACCCAGATTCCCATTTCTGGGACCTTTGCACCTCTTGTGCATAGTCACATCTGTCTAAGGTTATTCCACTCTTTGCCTATCAAACTCGCAAAAAAAATGAAATCAAACTTATTCATATTATAATAGTCAATTTTTCAGCCTTGATAGTGCGTTTTCACTCTTTTAATGTATCTTAATCTAGCCAAATATATCCGTGTCTCTCTCACTGATAGAGGTTCATGCATCTTTATGCAGACACATAATGGTTGGTCTATGCAAATGACAGCGATTTTCTCTGTGTCTTTGTCTTTGTCTCTGTGTCTGTCTGTTTCTGTCTCTGTCTCTCTGTCTCTGTCTCTCTCTCCTCTCCTCTCTGTTCCTCTCCTCTCCTCTCCTCTCCTCTCCTCTCCTCTCCTCTCCTCTCCTTGCTCTCGCTCTCACTTTCACCTCTCTCTCTCTCTGTGAGACAGGGTCTCGCTATGTAGCCCAGGCTGGCCTCCAACTCACAGTGACCCTGCCTCAACCCCCCAAGTGCTGTGATTACAGGTGTGTACCTCCACATCCAGTGAGATATTCTCTTATAATTACCTCCAGTGGCATTATTGTTTTTATTCCTGTTTAA